AGAAAAACTCTTGACTCCATTTGGGTAGAAGTGAAAAGTACTTTTACTAAGAGATGCTGACCGTAGTAAAATCAGGAATCTAATGTTCCCATGCATCAATGCAGAATTAATCCCTTGGTTCCCCCAGTCCTCCCCCACACCATGGTCTGTTCATGTGTAGCCAATCCAAAACCACCAAGATGTTTTGGGAAATGCTGGGGTGTTTAGACTGGTGAAATTCCACTCCCAGGGAAAACGGCCTTGAAGATGCCAGGCACGAACCAGATTCCAAATGCTCTGTTCTTCTTCAGCTATCAATCCCAAATTCCCACCGAAAAGGTATGCAGATGTATTGCTCATTTGTTTCCCTCTCCCTTTCTCGTTTTTTTGATGGCGGGATGCCAGTGAGACACTAAGCCGAAGTTGGTGGATCTAACATATTCAATGAATGGAAAAATAGGTGACCTGCAACTTATGACCACAATTGAGCCCAAGTTGTTAAGCGAGACAGTTGTTAAGTGAGTTTTGCTCCATTTTACGAGCTTTCTTGCCACAGTTGTTCGGTGAATCACTGCAGTTGTTAAGTTGTTAAGCGAATCTGGCTTCCCCATTGACTTTGCTGTTCAGAAAGTCACAGAAGTTGATCGCATGACCCCAAGACCTTGCAATCATCATAAATATGAGTCCAGTTTCCAAGCATCTGAATCTTATCACGTGACCATGGGGATGCTGCAATGGTCATAAGTGTGAAAAGTGGTCATAAATCACTTTTTTCAGAGTCGTGGTAACTGAACATTCACTAAACAAACTGTTGCAAGTTGAGGACTACCTATAATGCTGCATCTTCTCGACTGGCAAATTGCAACATTTCGGATGTTTTGTTCATCACACGAATAAGATGATGGAACTACACCAGTTAGACCAGGCATCTCCAAACTTGTGGACTTCAACTCCCAGAATTCCTCTGTCAGACCTGAAATAGACCTTCAAAACAGGTGTTTTTCCAAACACAAAAGTCAGTAAGACTATGACAGGGGAACTATATGAATCAATATGACTATTTTGGGGTGATTGCTCCCCACTAAATGGAGAACTTTTCTCTGAAACTTTTCAGCTCAATATCCATGGTTACCTTTTCTTTTCTATTTTGGTGTTGTTGGTTGAGTCAGTGTTGATTTTGGATTTGCAATTTTTCTTCCAGGATTTTTAGAATCTTGCTTTCCTTTTTTTTCTTTAAACGGATCTACTTGTTCCAATGTGATATTTTCATGCCATTAACTTCAGTGAACTATCATAATGTAAATTGGTGTGTATGGGTTTTTTTTAGTCAAAACCGAACAGAGGCCCTAGGTAATAAAATAATGCATTATTACAAGAATTTTTTTGGTCTGATTGGGGCCAAGTATTCCAAAAAGCTCAGAGCAGTTGCTGGAAGCAGAGGAGAGGTGAAGTTTACTTGATACAACATAAACATGATAAATATAAATTAAAATAGATGAAATGCTGTAATCCCAAGAGTACATCTCCCATCAGTAATATTAAAATAATAATTGTCTTAAAATATATATCTGGTTCCAAACAATTTTAAGTACCAAGGCCTACTTCTAAGTAAGCAACTGCAGCATTGTTAGTAATGGGGAACATTGGTGAACATTTAATATTTTCTGCATTATGTTTAATGGACTCTACAAATAGTATTGGCTGCCTTGCCAATACTAAATAAAATGTGAATTGAAAACCAGTAGAGCACTCTGAATGGCAAAACCATTCACTTAAATTAAAATTATCCTTCATATTGAAACAGCAGCATTTCTTATAGTTGAGCCATTATCTATCAAATAATATGAAACTCATAAAACAACTGTGTGAACCTAAAAGGCAGCGGTGAGTTGGACAGATATAGACACAAAGTATTTTATGACTTTAGGCTCATTTTAAAAACAGATTCATTTTATCTCTATATTTCCACAAAAATACGGGGCTGTAAGTGGCCAAAGGTATTGTGGGAAGCCCCCCTCCTGAAGAATGAAATATTTTGGGAAATATTTAAAAAGGCAGAATGTTATATTTCCCTAAAGAAGAAAAGGAGAAACATGTTTTTATAGGCAGATAGCAGCCCCCAGTCTTTCTTAAAAGCTCACAGCAGATGCCAGCACTTAAGGAGATAAAGAGCTTATTGGAAGAGGGAGCCAACTATCTAGATAGCTCTATTCATAAGCAAAGCAAACCCTGTCAGAAATCCATTCAAGACAGGATATTTCAAAACTTCTTGCAGCAAAGTTTGACAGCTTATGAAAGTGGAATGGTAGGCTTAGTACAGCAGCCTCTCGCCCAAGATCCAGCACAGGGCAAAAGACATTAGCCACAATAAGAATTGCCCAACACCCTTCCGGAACACAAGCCTCTTCACTGTACAACTCACCCACCTCCAGCAGCATTTCAGGACCTGTATAAAAATCCTGGTACTCATCTAGCTAATTGGTCAGCTGCCCCAGAACCACAAACCCTGGTGGTTCTGTTCAGCATTAAATGGACCTTCTTGTTCTGACCCAGCTCCCCAAATATGACAAACCCTCTGACATGCACTCAAAAGATTCCTTTATTTGGAGTACTGGAAGCCCTGGCAAAAAGTTTCTCTTTCAATGCAGGGCCAACAAGTCCGTCTGACCAGAAGATGAACAGTTGTCTGCCACACCTATTCATCTCCACCCGCTGCCGTTTATCCTCAGAGCTAGGGTGGGGCCTTGCTAGCTTCTGTGGCTTTTCTGTCCCAGGGATGGGCCTATATATTTCCACTGCTCTCCTCTCCTCTGCCTTCTGCTCATCCGCACATCCGGCACTGGACCCAGCTGTTCCTCCTCTTCCTCATCAGCCACCTCCAGACCTGGGGGTTGTTGACTCTCCATCTGAGGGCTGACAGATGGCCCAAGCTCTGCCACTCTGTCTCTGCCAGCTCCATTCCCTCTTCCTCCTCTGTGCTCTCAGGTTGGCTCTGACTCTCACTCCTCTTCCTCTCCTTTCAGCTGCTGGAGAGGCCTAACACGCCACAACATTTCTTTCCAAATCAGCCTCCAGCCTCCATTTTGTTTCCAGCGTCTTTCTCCCAGCTTGGAACTGAACCAGATGTCTTTTCATTCCAACAGTTTCTTTAACTGAGAACCATGCTGAGAACCATGATATTGGTGTTTTTAAAGATAGAATAACAGAGTTGGAAGGAACCTTAGATCTCTTATAGTCCAGACCCCTTTACAAGCAGGGGACCCTATATATAGGGTCCCCTGCATAAATATTTGTCCAATTTCTTCTAATAACCTCTGTTGATGGAGCGTCCAGAATGTCATTCCACTGATTAATTGTTCTCACAGTCAGGAAAATTGTAGGTTGGATCTCTCTTTGTGAAGTTTCCATCCATTACCTCTTGTCTTGCCCACAGGTGCTTTGGAGAATAAGTTGGTCCCATGGCTGGCTGGGGAATTCTGGGAGTTGAAGTCCACAGGTTTTAAAATTGTCAAGGTTGGACACCCCTGAAGGAGAGCAGACTGCAGAAACACAGGATAGCTGTCTTTGAATATTTGAAGAACAATTGTCCAGAGCTATTTGGGAAGACAGGACAAAAAACAAACAGTTTAAATGATAAAGAAGTAGTCTCAGCGATTCCAGCTGTGTATCTGAAAATGTTTTTATCATAGGAAGAGCCGTTCTTCAGTTGAGCAGATTGCTTTGCAACGACAGAACTTCTCCTTCATCGAAGACCTTAGGATAGATGGCCATAGTGTAGTGAATTCCTGAGCAGGAAGCTAGGTTAGATAACGGTCAGGGTTGGGATTCTACCGGTTCAGACCGGTTCTATAGAACTGGTTGTTATGATTCTGTGCAGTTTGGAGAACTGGCAAATCGTGCCCCTGGCTGGTCCCACCCCACTCCGCCCACCCACTTCCCTCCATGCCCAGTCAATCCTCATAGGTTTTTTCCATCCTGGGCCCCAGGGAAACTTCCTGGGAGTAAAAATGTCCCCCCAGGAGGCTTCCCCGAGGCTCAGGACGGGAAAAAACGGGAAAGGGGGGTGCTGCAAAAAAAGAGGAAGCCATGCCCACCCAGTCACATGGCCATGCTCACCTAGCCATGCCCACCTAGCCATGCCCACAGAACCAGTTGTTAAAAAATTTGAATCCACCCCTGATAATGGTAGTCCTCGACTTATAACAGTTCATTTACTGATCGTTCAAAGTTACAACAGCACTGAAAATAGTGACTAATGATGACCATTTTTCACACTTATGACCATTGCAGCATCTCCATGGTCACGTGGTTGACATTTGGATGCTTGACAACTGACTCATATTTATGACAGTTGCAGTGTCCTGGCGTTAGGTGATCCCTGACAAGTGAAGTCAACAGGGAAGCCAAATTCATTTAACAACCGCGTTATTAATTTAACAACTGCAGGGATTCACTTAACAAATGTGGCAAGAAAAGTCATAAAAAGGGGCAAAAGCCACTTAAGAAATTTCTCATTTAACAATGTAAGAACTGGGCCGGTCCTTTGCTGTTTCCAGGGCAGACCCGCAGGCCCGATTTAAGCACCCCGCCAGCCAGATTCGGCCCTGCAGCCTTGAGTTTGACAGCCCTGAACTAATAGGTTTCTAACCCCTCGTCAGCCCATCATCTGATGACACCTTTACCCAACTGAACACTGTAGAATAGCCATTGTTCCAAAATTAGAGGTGCCTCCCATTTTTTAGCCTTTGTCTTTTCGCAAGTTCAATTGAGTTTTGTTTTGTTTTTTTTAAAAAATTAAACCTTTAGTTTAAGAATTTATCAACATCCCATGACTGATCTTGCAAGAACATCTCAGCAGTTTCTGGCAGAGCCAAGGCAGTGGGAGATGACAGCTAATAAGCAACAACCAGTACTCACTGTTTTGTATGAGACAAATGCCTTGACGTGTATTCAGTCTATGCCCTTTGATGCTGTCAGCGGAAGAAATGTTGAAAAGCATGAATCACACTTTCTCGTTTCAGGTGCCTTTTGTATTCCACTGTACATACCCTATGTCCTCACGGGAAGATGGGCCTTTGGAAAGAGCTTTTGCAAACTCTGGCTGGTGATGGATTATCTGTTGTGTACCACGTCCGTCTTCAATATCGTTCTGATCAGTTATGACCGATTCCTCTCGGTGACCAGAGCGGTGAGTTCTATTCTAACCGTTCAAAAATCAAAGGATTTTGATCTGATGCTGCATTTCTCCTCCTCCTCCTCCTCCTCCTCCTCCTCCTCCTCCTCCTCCTCCTCCTTTTTGTTTTCATTATCCTGTCCTTTCTCTGGCTTCTCCTCTTCCTTATTGTTTTCTCTCATCTTCCTCTTCCTCCCTTTCCTTCTCCTTCTTCTTTTTCTTCTCTTCCTCCTCCTCCTCCTCTTTCCCTCCCTCTCCTCTTCTTCATTGGTCTCCTCCTCCTCCTCCTCCTCCTCTTCCTTCTCCTTTTTGTTTTCATTATCTTGCTCTTTCTCCAGCTTCTCCTCTTCCTCGTCTTCTCCCTCCTCCTTCCCTTGTCATCTTCCTCTTCCTCACTTTCCTCCTCCTTCTTTTCCTTCTCTTCTTCCTCTTCATCCTTCCCTCCTTTTCCTTTTCCTGTCCTTTCTTTTACTATTTCTCCTTCCTCTTCTTCCTCCGCCTTCTCTCCTTCTTCTCCTCCTTCCTTTTTCCCTTCTCTTGCCCTTCCTCTTCCTTCTCCTTCTCCTCTTCCTCCTTCCTTCTTCGTTCTTTTCCTCCTCCATTGCATCTTGTTCCAAAATCATATATCAGTTGCTCTCTGAAACCCAGTATGAAATATTGACACATTTAATATTTTTCCTGTGAAAAAATCAAATCCAAAAAACTAGAGGGGGAATTTACTACTTTCCCTTTCTCTTGGGAGAAGGCTGCAAGAAAGGGAAACATCAATCAAATACCTTGCAAACCGAGGTTGAAATTAGTTTTTTTTAAAGCTATATGTAACCTGAAGGTGACATATTGTCTATCCCTGAACTAGGAAGATTTGTATATTTGTGCCATCAAATAATTCTAGCTGTTTTGGGGCCAGCTGACCAAGCGGGGATGTGGGTGGGAGAGAGAAATCAGAGAGGAGACCTGCAAGAGATGAAAGAGGAAAAGACTGATGTAGTTCCAAGCCACAGTCAGAATCAGTAATACAAACTATAGAGAAGAAACAAGCCAAAGCAAGGAAAAAGGGCTCTTGAAAGGGAGCAGTGAAGCTAGCGGTGAGGTAAATAACTTGAAGCTGAAGTTCAAATACCTTGGCTGCCTAATGAGAAGAGAAAACTCGTTGGAAGAGACCCTGATGTTGAAAAAGGACTTAAGGCAAAAGAAGAATGATGAATGAACATGAATAGAGATAGATATGAGAGAGAGAGAGAGACGGGGAAGGAGGGAGGGAAGGGAGAGAGAGAGAGAGAGAGAGAGAGGATAGATACAGATAATAGACAAACAAAAATAGATGATGGATAGATGATAGATGGATAGATAGAGATAGACAGATAGGCAGATAGATGATAATAATGATAGATATGATACATATAGATGATAAATAGACAAACAGAAATAGATGATAGATGGATAGATTAGATAGATGAATAGATAGATATAGGTGATACATATAGATGATAAACAGAAATAAATGATAGATTATAGATGGATAGATAGAGATAGACAGAGAGACAGAGAGATGATAGAGATAATGATAGATGATAGACAAACAGAAATAGATGATAGATGATAGATGTTAGCTAGATAGAGATAGAAGATAGATGGATGATAGACAAACAGAGAGATAGTTGAGATAGATAGATAGATAGATAGATAGATAGATAGATAGATAGATAGATAGATAGATA